TATATGGTCCATATTCGTGGCTGCTCGTCCTTGTCGTCCTCTTCTTCCTGGTCTTTGACGTCCACACGTCCTCGAAAGTTTCGCACAGGTCCTTCTTGACTTCGGAATCGTCCAGACTTCCTCGTAGTTCTCACCCAGGCCTATTTCGGCGGCGTCCTCGTTCACACATCCTCGCAGATCACGTCCAGGTCCTTCTCGGCTGAGTGCTCGTCCAGACGTCCTCGTAACCTTCGTCTGGATCTACGGGCGTCCGGGCTGGTGTTTTCTTCGGCATCCTAGGGCAGCTGATACCTCCGCTGACGAGCTCCTGGAGTTTGACTGGATCTGCGGGCGTCCAGGCATGCCCTTCCACAGCATCCTGGGGCGACTGGTACCTGCGCTGGTGAGATACTTGTCCTTCGCTGGATCTACGGGCGTCCTGACAGGCGGCGCCCTTCCACTACATCCTGGGGCGATTTAATACCTACTCTGACGAACATCCTGGTCCGCAGGCTTATTGCGATCTTCCTGTGACGTCCTTATCACAGGATCCTAAGGTGACCGTTTCTGCAGCAGGGTCATCCTTCGGTGCCGTGTCAGATATCGTATCGTATGGCACGTACCTGACTATATGTTCAGTTTATTGTCCACCTGATGATGTGATAATCTGTAATGAGCTCTTTGTTCTTCAGGATAGTCTGCCACAAAATAGATTAATTCTAGGTGTCTTTAATGATCATCATGCATTATGGGGTTTCCTGCAGGTGGAAGGTGGAGGTGAGCAAGTAGTTAAGTTGATTAATGATTCTGATCTGTTCCTTCTGAACGATGGTAGTCCGACGTGGGTGAACGATAATACTGATACGTTGAGCTTTATTGACATATCATTGGTCTCTTCATCAATAGCAGCCAAGGCCTGTGGCAAACCATTGGCGATTCGTTGGGAAGCGATCATCTTCCTATTTTTATTGAATATTCATGCGACACGATAAATTTATCGTAAAAAGAACAGACTGGGTCGCCTTCACAAGCTCGAACCATTGATGATAAAGTAAACAATAATCAGAATTCGATTTCAGATGCAGCAATAATATCCACTCCTAAAACTTCGACAGATAGCGTCAAGCATAGAGTTTCATGATGGACACCAGATTGCCACAGGGCGCAGTGCCAACGCAATAGGGTCTATGGGCAACACCACAATATCAGAGGTTTGGTACACTATCAATAAAATAAATAAGAAAAGATCAAAATTAAAAACATCATTCATGAGGGAACCAATTTCGATTCACCTAAAGACATGCTAATGTACTCGCTAGGCAATGCTCATATACAAGCAGCTCAGACAATCACCATCCCCCATTCCCGACCACCAAGGAAACGGTTGAGCTGCAACCTATTCACTTTGCCACAGGAGATGACTTTGATTACAATAAAGACCTAGCAATGGATGAGCTTCTCCGAACCCTAGAGGCCTGTAGAGGAACATCCCCAGGCCCTGATGAGATTCGATATGAGATGATGAAGCATCTTAATCATGATGCCATTGCTAGAAGTTTACAATGGCAGTTGGAAGAGCCACACTTTTCTAAACTCATGGCACTTGGCCCACACCATTCCCAAATTGAAAGGTCAAGGAACGAATTGTTAATGGTAGGCCATAACATTTTTTAAATTCCAGTAATTTACTAGTTGACAAGCAGTGCAGCTTCCGAAAGGGATGCCAAATTCTTGTGAAAGTTATATTCAAGAGGCAATTTAAAAAAAAAAAAGATTTCACTATTTCTAGATATAGAAAATGTCTACATGACATGGTGATATGGCCTTCTCGGAAAACTTTATGCTTTTGGATTATGTGGAAACTTTACTCAAAATTTAATTTCTGACAGAACTTTCTGTCAAACCTTTTTGGACATTTTTGTCTAGGTAAACGGGGTCCCACAAGGAAGTGTCTTGTCACCAGCATTAATTCTATGAATGATCAATGACATCTTACCAGTTCCCTCTCGGGAACTGGATAAGATTCAAAACTGGGGCATCTAGACAATCCCCAATACTTATGTAAAATTCTGCTAGATTTCTTAATTGGAAAGACCACATTGGTGCATTTCTGGTAATAAATGGGGGATGATAGAAAGCCTTTTATAATGATACATAAAGCCCTTATTAGGTCTAAAATAGATTATGGGTCAATCGTGTGTGATTCGGCATCGAAATCAATTTTGAAAAGTTTGGACGCTGTGCAGAATGCTTGTTTGCGTGTGTCTTGGGGCCCTGAAGTGTACTTGGATCGAGCGTCTTGAGGTGGAGTCAGTACCCCCCCTCCGACTCAGATGCAACCAGTTAGCACTGACCTATGCTACAAAGGTGGCTCGAAACCCGAGCCATCCTAACGGCAATCGAGGCATTAGGCACTTTGCCACGAGACTCCACGACCTCGTCGAGAAAGACGGTATAGATCTCTCTATCACTGATACTCTGGTTCAATCAAAAATAGCGCCATGGGAAACCTCCAACTTTTCCATTATGAAAGCTTGGCCTCCATCAGCGAAGGCCATGGCGCCGAAGGTGGAGGTACAGTAGAAGTTCAGAGAGATCCTTATTAAGCATCTCCCTTTTTTCATATACATACCGACGGTTCCAAGACAGATGAATGTGTGGGAGCGGGTGTATGGTCGACTGAATGTGAATTGAAGTTCAGACTGCCGAACCATACATCGATCTTTCATGTCGAACTTTTTGCCTTTGTTAAAGCTTTAGATTTTGCACTATCGACGAACCACGATAGAGTAGTTATTTTTTTCTGATTCATCAAGTTCACTTAAAGCTATTAAATCATTAGAAACCGCCAAACATGAACTACTATGTAATATCATTCGTAAGCTACACGGTACCAACAAATCAATCAAGATAATAAGGGTACAAGGCCACACTTGTATCCATGGCAATAAGCAGGGGCCGGATACTCAAAACTACCCGTCAGTTACAAGGCCGAGGACGTTGTAACCGCTTTACAACATCGTACCTCCCGATCTCCTTACTACATTGTAACCCAACCATACTCAAAAAATAATTACGATGTAGTAAGCACATTGTAAGGCCCGTGTTTACATTGTAAGTTAATTCCATTGACTACCAAGAGAGGGCAGACCAGTAGTCGATTGACCAATCAGCAGTCAACCTGCTAGACGTAACAACCAATGGAAAACCATGGTTGTCTTATTGCCACGCCCCCAACGGTCACCAACTCCATGGAAGGCCCAGCGACTGTCTCCCCGAGTAATATTTTTGAAAGACTTATTTCCTCTACTTTTAACAATGTTTACGAGGTCTCACATGTGACTTACATACATTTTTTCGGAAGTATTAAGGCAAAAAATCATAATTTTATGCGAAAGTAAATTGATTTAAACATACTTACGGAAGAGTCACTTATTATCGGAATAATAATTCTTAAAAGGATTGTTTAGTTGGATATTTGACATCAAAGAAGGTTATAGTAAAACAAATCTAGGAAATCTGTGATATCGCAATAATTGCTTATCCTCTCCATAGCGTGAAACTAATGATTCCCTCTAATAATGACTTTCGCGCTGCAGTGCTCGGTCATGAGGATGAGCAGCCACCAAAACATTGTTGTGTGTCGTCTGTCGTCTGTCAACTCAATTTACAGTCAATTTATATTTGATTCAAAATAACGATAATGCATAGAAAACAGAGAGTATGCTAGACAATTGAAATTCCCCGGTATTAAACATGGAAAAGGCATGTTACTGTCAAATAAAGGTTTTTGTCGACTAAGTAATCGGGATATAAACCGTAATATATCCGGTTTGAAACCCTTACAAGAGCTCCCGAGCAGTTGTAACTTACAAGGTACTTTACAATGAGTGACGTCATAACATGGCGGCTACTTTTGTTTCGAGTATGGCCCCCGGAGGAGTTACAACATTGTAACTGCTCCGATGTGAGATACAACATTGTCAACTGTTTTGAGTATCCCGCCCCAGGCAGACAAATTCGCCGGTTCAACTAGTGATCTGGGGCCGGATACTCAAAACTACCCGTCAGTTACAAGGCCGAGGACGTTGTAACCGCTTTACAACATCGTACCTTCCGATCTCCTTACTACATTGTAACCCAACCATACTCAAAAAATAATTACGATGTAGTAAGCACATTGTAAGGCCCGTGTTTACATTGTAAGTTAATTCCATTGACTACCAAGAGAGGGCAGACCAGTAGTCGATTGACCAATCAGCAGTCAGCCTGCTAGACGTAACAACCATTGAC